TTATTTTGATATATCACAGTGAAAGATTTATCGTCCTCTTTTTTTTTTTTTTTAAAAAAAAAAAAAAAAAAAAAAAAAAAAAAAAAAAAAAAGGACGTTAAGAACCATTCTTTGTCTGTGGGCTGTGCAAAAACAGGCAGCAAGAAAGCATGCCACTCCTTCCTCTTCACTCACCTCTACATTTCTCACCCAATATCTAATAAAAGGATCTGAAATTTACTTTTCTTGAAAATTATTATACAGAGTTTTTGAGTATATAGTGAGTAGAACTAGAAAGGAAAAGTTGGTGAGACCATTTCCTTCACTGGGCCATTTCTTTTAGGGCCAAGGAGATGGCTCAGTATAAAAGCCAGTCATGCAAGTCCGATATACAAACACACACGAACATGAACACACATGTGCATCTCTATACACGTGAATATGTACACAGATATACACCACTATACACACGAACATGCACACACATGTACATCTATACACACACAAACATATGCACAGATATAGAGGCATACACACATACACACTGCAACAGTGGTTCCCAGTAGATGAGGGTTCCCCCTATCCCACTGGGGCTCTACAGGGCACTGGCTCAAGGTCTCTCATCCTTTATGGGTAAGCCTAGATTTGACTGGGTGCCTGCAGACTAGGCAGCTCACCAACCTGGGGCTGAGGTTTTCTCACTTTTGATGTCTACCAGGGATGTCCCAAAGGTCAGGTAGGACCCACCTGCTCTTCTCAGTCTCTCTCTGTATAGGGGTCTGTCTGAGATCCTATTTGAAGAGAGGGTTTTGCTGCCTATGACAATCATATCCAATCCAGCATCTAGACTCCCAACCAGGACCCACACCAGGCAGCCATATGCAAATACAGGTCATTCCGCTAGTACAGCTGGCTAATGAAATGAGGGGGTACAGAAGACAGTGTCACCATGGCTACGAGGATCAGAACCCACAGTCAACCTCAGGGAGCAAAGGTCAGGCAAGGTTGGCCTCTGAGACGTGCCTACGACAGGTGGCACTATGCTCATCTCAGCCCCAAAGCCACTCCTGTCTCAAAGCAGACACCCAAGAGGAGTGTCAGCCCCTCACTGCCTCACCTCACAGTGGTTGTCCAGCTTGGTCAGTGAGATGTCCATGCTCTGGTGCTGTTCCTTCAGCTCATCGAAGCGTGCCTGCCAGCGGTTCAGCTCTAGCTGAGAGCTGTTCAGCGAGGTCTTCAGCTCCTTGGTGTGGGCGTGGAGCTCCTCATACTCCCCCTTTAGCTGGTGGTGCAGGAAACTGATCCTAGGGGAGAGAGCCACAGGGCAGAGGAGATAACAGTGCTCCAAAGAAACAGAAGTTGAGGCCCAGGGCTCTGCACCTGTTCTGATGGTGGTGGACTGTGCAACCTCACACAGAGCTACAACCCTCTCGTGTGCAAAGTCAGAACACTAAAGGAAATTGCTGCCTTTCAAACTGTGTTCTTCGGGGTTCTCTGAGGGCACCCCTGGCGTGTTGGGATAGGCAGGCAGGCAGGCTAAGATACTGGCCTCAACAGGATACCACAGCTACCAGCCTTTCAACGTTACCATTTGTTGTTCTGATGTGCTTGGAAAAAATAATTGTGCTATTACAAAAAAAAATTTTAAGCAGAAAGTCCTATTTTTTCCTTTTTAAAATTCTATGCCCAGATCTTCTTCCCAATTCTAAGGGGCTTTCTAATTTCAACTCCTAAGATCATAGAATGGGATGAACTGTAAGGTCCTACAAAAACCCACTATAATCACCGTCATCTTAAATTCCATTAGCTGGCTTCTCAGAAAACTTGAATCTTGGGCTGGAGAGATGGCTCAGCAGTGAAGAGCACACACTGCTCTTGCACAGGACCCATGTCAGGCAGTTCACAACCCATCCTGTAACTCCAGCTCCAGGGGTCTCTGATGCCTCTGGCCTCTCAGGGTACCTGCACTCATATGCACATACCTATACACATATACACAATTTTAAAAATAAAAATAACTCTTTAAAAAAATAAAACGTGAAACTGAAAGCTCAGTTCCCGTGGATTGATTTGAACATAGATGTACCTTGTTTGACCTGGATGGTTTTATTGAAAATAACGCACAAAACCAAATTCACTGTCAACATCCAACAACTGGAAGTTTCACATCTGCATCCAGGTACCTAGCCTCTCTGAGAGAAGAAACAGGAATGACCTGACATGGGGCAGCCTGCACTCAGTCCAGGCAGGGCTCTTTTCCATCTCACAGTCTGTGCCCACTGGGGCATTGTTTCCCCTATGGGCTTCACCTGTCTGGTCACTTGAGGCACCTGGGTTTGTAATCCCCACTACATGCTGACTGATATAAGGAGGAGGGTCAGCAGCCTTTCACCTTATCAAAACTCTGAAATCAGAGAAGACCTGGATTCAACCCTAACTCGCTTCTCACTAAAGCATTAACCTTGAGTGAGTTATCTGACCTGAGCCCACTTCCAGATCTATAAAACAAAAAGGGCCTAATAAGAAGCAGTTCTGTTCTGTAAAACTGCTGCCAACAGTGGATCAGCGAATAGTGAACCTTGCTCTGAAGGAAAACACAGGGCTCACCAGACTTTTTTCAACAGATCAAGAGGCAGTTTCAGGTGGGTGGCATTTTATGTAACACACACCTTGGTGACCCCAGCCTGGCTAAGCTTATCTAACACAACAGGCACATTTTTTCCATCGCCATTCTGCACTCAGGGACAATCAGGATGCACTTGAGCACTAAGTCTGGGAATTATTTACACAGCAAGAATACTACCCAAAGCGCAAAACACCAAAGACCCACCACTAAATAGGTTCTGAGACAGACTTTTGTTCATGGGGGGGAGAGATGAAACAAACCCCACAAGTTTGTACAATTATGGTTATAATAAACGCTAGTGAGGTGAATCTGTGACTAAGGAGGCCCACAGCAGCCCCTTCCTGAGAGTGATGGGCTCACAGCTGAGGACGAATATGCCTATCCTGACACATGATACACCTGCATCCTATACCACCTCAGTATTCCCATCACAGCCACTAACTGGGACAGCTCTGACCTCCTTTATGTCAATGCCACACAGTTTATGAAAACATGAAGTCAGTTGTTGAGTGACACTGCTCTGAACAGACTTCTGGGTGTCACTGCCCTAGGCTAGGTAGGAATGCCTGAATGCTCACCTGTCTAGCTCTCCCCGAAGCCTCTGGTTCTCAGTCGTGGCTATGGCGTTGGTCCTCTGCTCCTGCTGCAGTGCCTCCCGCTCAGTGCTCAGCACTTTCTCCAGCTCCTCCAGCTCTGCCTTATGCTTCAGCAAGTCACTGTGCCTGTTAGAGAAAACACCCATTGGGACCACGACACATGCTTTCTCTACCAAAAGCAACTCATACTCCAGGAAACTGTAGCAAGCCCTCTGAAATAAGGGAATCCCTCTGGAACCTTTTCTCTGTATAGTGTGGGGACAGGGCAGGGCACTAGTGAGAGGCTGGACATTAGGGAAACAGGACTAGCACTGTGAGAGTAGAATTGGCCAGCACCCACCTAGGGGCCCAGAGTCCTCTTCCGTCTCCTAGCTCTCCTGTCAGCAGCCCTTCTTTGGGTTACCTGAGAGCCTGAAGGCTGCACTCTGAACTCAGACACTTTTCTATTTTAGGGAATCACATTATGAAGTGGTTCATTAAACATGAATAAGATCTAAAGGAAATCGCAGAATAAACAGCCAGATTCCACTGTGTGGAGCAGCTAATCCCTTCTCACACTCTTTCCCCACCCTGCATGGGAGCCTGTTCCTGCTGGGCCCTCCTGGGGGTTAAGAGGCTGTACCCACCTCCCCCCAGGGTTTGAATTTTCTCTTCTTCACTCAGTCCTTGTAGGTGGCGGCTGCCGCTAGGGGGCAGCAGAGCACAAGGTGGATCCCTATATGGAAATCCCCCGTGACACTGTGCCATGCCTAGCTGTCCTGCTGGGGTGGGCTCAAAAGAAATGCCACCAACAGGGGAATTCAGCACAGGAAGGGGACAATGGTGCTCTCCTGCTCCACTCGAGTCTGAAGGTCTTGTTTTTGGAGGAGCCTTCCTCTGATACATATCTCCCCAGCCTGTGGAGAGGACATGGGTCCCATCCCTTTGGATCCGGCTGCACATGCCCAGGGGCCTGGAATCCTCAGTGCATGGGCAAGAGCTCAGTCAAAATTGGGTGACTTAATGACACAGGGCCCAGAACCTGGGACTTGTAAGTGCAAAAAATTAACATGTACACATTTCAATGCATGCAAATTTTACCTTTCTAAAAAATGTGTGTGCATGCAAAGCAGCAGGTGCAGACAAAAGATGGCAATGTGGGCAACTGTGGGAAATGGGCAACTGGGACTCACAGGGTACCTCTCCCTCCCTTCCTGCCTTTACCTCCCAACTGTGTTGAGATTACAGATGTGGAATTCCATTATGCTACACTTGTTTGCATTAAACAGTTAACACAATCGAAGGGCCCCACCCCATAAAGGCAAGCAATCTAGACCTCGACTGAAGAGTGGGGTAGGCACACTCTTGCACAATGGTACTAGGAGAATTTTCCCAGGGGTGCAGGCCAGGCCAGGAGAGGAGAAGGAATAAGAGAGAATTCTTAGAGAATGGGTCTTCAAGTGTCCACACTGGGCCACCAGGACCCAAGGCAAGACACTGTAACTCTTCTCCCCAGAGTCCCCTGCCAATGAATCCCTGGCTGGACAAACTTCAAGCTGCTGAAGGTGACGTTTTATTTACTTCCCTTTGGGAAGGCTTAGGTGCTCTAACAATGGGAAGCAGCAAGCCAAAAGGAAACACAGTGGGAGAGACAGAGGTGCATACAGGCCTCAGGAAAGACCCGTATCCTCTGAGCTAGCCTGACTGGCAGACCAGTCTGGCTCCTCTACAGGCTGTACACTGCCCTCTCCGGCCCCTCTAAAGGTTGCACCTCTGTATCCTCAGCCTCCCTGTCTCCAGGCTCTACTTTGGTGCCCTGTGTATCCCTTTGTCTCCTTAGACCCTGGCTCTGCCTCCCCCTGCTTCTTAGGTTCCAATTCTGCCTCCCAGGCCCCACCTCTCTCCCAGATCCTTATGCTCCAGCTCCAGGTTCCGGTGCAGAGTCTTCAAGCAGCTGTGTTGGCGGATGAGGGCTTCGTATTCCGAGGACTGGCGCTCGTGCAGGGAACCCAAGTGCTCATGGTCCTGAAGCAGGGCCTCATAGGCAGCTGCCAGCTGCTCCTGCTGCCGCTGCAGGCCCTCGTGCTCAGCCTCCTTGGCCGTCTGCTGGCTCTGCAGCAGCGTGTACTGCGCACTGAGTGCTGCGCTCTGCGAGTTCAGTGTGGAATTCTCCACCTGCAGGGAGAGCAGAGCCCTGTGTGTAGTGAGCAAGCCAGGGGACCTCGAGGCAGGCTAGGCCCAGGGCAATGCCACCAGAACTTCAGGACCTGCTCTAGGAGGGGCCTAAGTGGCAAAAATGGACCAAGGAATGGTGTTGTCAACCTGAGCTACGTCTAGAAGTTACATCCTTTCTCTATAACCCCTCACATGCTCTTGATTATTTTTTAAAGCTTATTTTCTAGAACAAGTCAACGTGAAATCTCTAAGGATAGAGAATACCAGGCAACACTGTCAACCAACCTAACAAAACTGATTTCTATTTACCTACATTTGTGGTACCAGGAGTTGAACCGAAGACTCTGTGCATACTGCATGTTTTACTCATGGGCCACACCGGAGCCCCTGATTTTTTTTAATAGAGCACACTAATATAACCCCAAACATTAGGAAATTAAACAGGAATCACAACTATCCTGACATTAAAACAAAGACTTTTACCAAGACAAAACAAAAAGCCAACATCCTATTTTCTTATTTTAACAAAACAAACCCAAGCTCTTTGCCAAATAAGTTTCCTGTTTATTGTCCCTTTCCCATAAGTAAGCTATTTCCAACTTTTCTTAGAAATTAATGATTTTAGAAGATTTTCCCCACCATCTACTGACCATTAAGTTAAAAGTGGCCTGAGACACTGGTCCTACTGGCTGCGCCTGACAGCTGGGAGCCCCTTCAGTGCCCCATTTCCCCTTGGAACTGAAAACTGACATCAGCTTCATACAGCTGTCAGGTTCTACTGTACAGTAAGCTGTCTAACTGTTCAATGAAGCTTATCTGATTTCCAAATCTCTCTCTTTTGTAACATGTGAACTGAAAAGCAGAGAAATGAGGGTTTTTTAGCTCGGCAGCTCTAGGCCCAGTCACGGATTAAAATGTCTCATGAGTCACTACCACCTTCAAAGACCATCTACCATAAACCTTTTAACTACCCAGTTCCTAGATCCCCCGTTTGGGGAACAGTCCTTCAGGGGTCCTGGGTACCTGTAGCTTGGCGGTCTGGGTTTGCAACGTGGTAGTGTGCTCCTGCAGGAAGGCGCTCTGCTTCTGCAGCGTCAGGATCTGGCTGCTGAAGGACACGTTCTGCGTCTCCAGGTGCTGCAGCTGCTCCTTCAGTAGCTGCTTCTCGGCCTGAAGAGCTGCGTTCTAGGGGCAGAGATGCACAGGCCAATCAAACACAATGATCCAGGATGCTCTCCCTGGCCACAGGCACTAGGATTATATAGCAGTCTTGGGCGGATGCAGGCCAGAGCCAGGGTCCCCATATAAGAAGTAACCCTTTCCCTCTTTGAAATGGACAATCAATAGAATTTTTTAAAACAAGACAATATATTATAGGAGTTACCTCTACCACCTGAGGTGAGTGGGGAGCCAGGGCACACTGGCGTGAAAGTCATGTTCATCCATTCCCCTTCAATGTTTTCCTTTCTTTTCTATGGTATGGAAAACCCCAGGTGCTTTTCTGTGAGCTGGAGCTACCTCCCACTGCCCAAAAATCTGAGTCTCTCAGAGGATGGGGAGTCACAGTCCTCAACAATAGCTGTCCCTACCTTGGAGACAGCAGGTGTGACAGGGTGCTTCACAGTACTAATAAGGACCATGCTGACCAGCCAGCCAGGCTAGGGGCAGGACCCAGGGGCTGCAGTGGTGCTTCCCCTTATTAGCCTGTGGGGAAAGCCTCTGAAGTTCTTGTTGAGGCTTGCTGAAAATCATCGCAACTGACTTCATAAAGTCATTGTGAAGAATCAAAACCAGAGAGACACACAAGCACTGGAAAGCTTTTTCTGTTAAGGGCCAATGGTAAACATGTGAAGGCTGCCATTAAAGTGGGAAAGCAGTCCAGATCACATGTAAATAAAAGGTGTGCTTGCATTTCAATAAAGCTTTATTTAGACACAACTGGGGCTGTGGTACACAGCATTAGGATGCAGCTCTGGAAGACCCAACACTATAGGACTAGAGTCTGGTGGACAAGCTACAGGCCAGGTCCTGTTACAGCAGGCAGGGCAATTCAAACCAGGAAACTGGGTGTCCCCCTTATGTTAGAAACTCTGAAGGGACCGGCCAGGACAACTGAACAAGTACCCTACCAGGTCCAATACACCCCAACAGACTGTCATCCTATGTTCTTTATAGTGAGGACAGGCTCTCGGGGTGGTTATTAACAAGATGGTCGCTTCGTATACGACTAGGGCCAGGGCATCCCACTCACACTGCGCTCCAGCTCGATGGCTCGGTCCTTCACCCGGAGCAGCTCCATGGTGGCCTCCTTGTGGCTGGGCCCCCAAGCAACCTCCTCTTGGTGACTGGTGACCAACTTGGCCACAGGATGTTTCAGCAAGTTCTGTGCCTGTTCACCATCCTCCTGGGTTTGCCTGAGCTGCTGCTCCCGTTCCTCCTTCATCTGTAGACACAGTAGTGGGACACAGGCTCAGGCAGAAGGCATGCAGAAGCCTCTAACAGCTAGAGAGCCCTTCACCCAAGCCCCAGACACCTACCCACTCGTCCCCTGGGTGGGGCTAGCCAGACGCCCTCTTTTTGCTGTGTTTTCCCCAAGAGGACAGGAAGGGTAAGGTCCTGAATTCATGCCTGCCTCAGTCCCTACCTTAGCCACATGACTGACAGATCTTATTGCTTGCCTGAGCCTCCACAGTTTACCCTATACAACAGAGGCAAGACTAGGTACTTTCATTGGTGGTCATACATCTTACAGAATCCCTGCCATCTCTGGATCTGCCTGGCTCTAGACTCCAATTCAACCCTAAAGCCAATGTGTTCAAAAGGGAGGGGTGGAAGAGCATGTATATATGGAGATCACATGCATGGAGTGTACCCCGAGGTGGAGAGTAACTATACCTACATGTGTGGAAAGTGTGTATATGAGGGCTGAAAACATGCTTCTATGTATATGGAGTGTGTACATGTGTTTCCCCATGTTGTGTGTGTGTCCAAGAGGTGATGAATGTATTCTTAGAAGCCCCTGTCCCATCTAAGGATGCTTATGAGCCTGCAGGTCTTTGCTTGGTGCCCTATGCTCAGTTTCATGTACCCACATCCCACCTAGAGGCGCAGGACTGTCCTCAGCTGCTGCCTCCTTCACCCCCACCTCTGGCTCTGTCCTGCCCAACTCCTATATCCCCAGAGCCCTGTGGCTCATTCACATCTGCTCTAGGACACAGGTGTCCACATTGCCTCTGGCTGCCCTTCGGAGGGAACGGCAGAGGCCTGACAGGTGAGACCCCAGTCCGGCCCTCACCATCTGCAGTTCAATCTGTAGCTGGTGATTCAGGCTGGCTTTCTCTTCCACCTGAGCCTCCAAGAACACAATCTTTTCTTCTTTCATGGCCAGTGCTGTTTTTAATGCTGATTCATTTCTGCCTTCTAAAATCTTGTATTTTCTGGGAAATATAAAGACACAATAGTATGGTTTGCATGCCCCTTCAACCCCACTGCCATCTCCCTGTGGCTAACACATACTTTTTTTTCCACTAAGCTGCGTTCCTGACCACATGTAGAGGGTGAGTGACCCCGGGGCCCTGGGAGCCAAACGTAATGCCTTGAGTCCTTCCTGGGGCACCTTAACGGAGATATCTATACAGCATCACACAAAACACCCCTGCTACATTTTACAGCTACTGCCTTAGAGGTGTCATACTGTGGGCACTTTATAGATGGGAAAGCTGACTCTTTGGGAAGGTTATGCAATCTGCCTGAGGTCATAGTGCTAAGTATGTGGTAGGTCTACAGCCTTTCCACCATACCAGACAGACATCAAAACAGGCATGTGGGTCTCACTAGTTACAAATCCAGGAAAAGTTCCAGAGACTAGATTTTCTTGAAAGGGGAAGGGGGGGAGAGGGAGAGGGAGAGGGGGAGGGGAAGGGGGGGAGAGGGAGAGAGAGAGAGAGAGAGAGAGAGTTAAAGCAACAGGGTAAAGGAAAACAGTAGAGGAACAAAAATACACTGTATTGGGAAGTAGAGCAAAATAATACCTAAACTTACAGCTATATAAAAGACATAGGCCACTGGGGGGGAGAGGGGGAGGGAGAGGGAGAGGGAGAGGGAGAGGGACTGTTCAAAAAAGCATGGCTAGGAAAAAGGACAACAAATCCAGCTAAAAAGACAAGGTCTTGGGCCATTCTTGGGGCTAGAGGTACATGTCACCGTAGATAGCCTAGCATGCAAGGAGCCCTGGGTTCAATTCTCAGCACCACAGTCTCTGTATCACAAACAACCTCCTATGTCTCCTTGAGACCCTCAAGGGACAAGACCTGGATTATGATGGACAGGTTCAAAGATCCACATCACACATTGTGGCTAATCTTGGTTGTCAACCTTGATAGATCAGGGAAGAGGGAACCTCAAGTGAGGAACTGTTTCCATCAGACTGACCTGTGGCACAGTTGTGGGACATTTTCTTGTTTGCTAACTCATATAGAAGGGCCTAGTGGGCAGTGCCACCCCTAGGCAGGTGGACCTGGGATGTAAGAAAAGCAAGCCAGTAAGCAGCATCCCTTCTAATCTCTGCTTCAGTTCCTGCCTCCAGGTTCCTGCCTTGGCTTCCCACAAGGATGGACTGATGGGACAGGTAAGTCAAATAAACCTTTTCCTCTTCAAGTTGGTTTTGGTCAACATGTTCATCATAGAAATGGGAAAGTAATGAGGACACACAGTGACCCCAGCTGTGAAGAATAAACTCAGGCCTCAGGCTGAGGACACATGGAACTCAGACTTAGGAGCCAGGGGAGAGCTACCAGGCGGGGATTTCCTCACGTGTCACTATGGCTGTCATCCTGCAGCAGCAGCTCCTTGCTGAGGCCAACCTTCTCCAGCTCCTGGCTCAGTTTGTCTACCTCACTGGTCAGCTGCTGGCTCTTCAACTTCTCTAGCACCAGGTCCTGTAACATAGGACACATCACTGTGGATGGAAGTCTGGCAGAGGCACACATCAGGGAGACTAGGACCTCTTAAAGGTGTCACAGTTCCAAGCCACTTCTCAAAACCTGGCTGCCTCAGATGTTGAGAGAGCTAGGCAGGCAGGCTAGGTGACAAGATCAGTTCTCAGAATGTTCCACCAGAAGAAGGGGAATGGTCACCTTTTTCCAGCCCTCCTGGTGGTGGGAACAGACCATGTGGCAACATGTGAAGGAGGGCTCCAAAATGTTCTCCTCCAGAATGTTCTGGAAATAACCCTTGTTTTGACCTTAGTAGTGGGAATGACCTCTGCTAATGTGCTTTATTTTTTGTCTTTTTTTGAGACAAGGTTTCCCTGTAGCCCCAGCTGGCCTCGAAATCACAGAGATCTGCCTGCCTCTGCCTCTCAAGTGCTGGGTCAAAAGGTTTGTACCACCACACCCAGCATATGATTGACTTTAAAAAAAAATTGTATTATTAATTTTTTATACGTATGAGTGTATTGCTTGCATGTGATGTAAATGCACCTGTGCTGTGCCATGCCTGTGGTAGTCAGAAGAGGGCATCGAATTCCCCTGAAACTGGAGTTATGGACAGTTGTTAGCCGCCATGTGGGTGCTGGGAAATCGAACCTGGGTCCTCTGCAAGAGCAGCCAGTGCTCTTAACCACTAAGCCATCTCTTCAGTCCAACTGCCTTTTTAAAAACCAATTTAGCAAATAATAAAATATTCAATGTAGGCAATGCAACAAAAAAAAGCAAAGAGAGGGAAAGAGGGTTTTTTTGTTGTATTGAGACAGGGTCTCAGGCAACCCAGGCAGGCTTTGAACTTGCTAATAGCTGAGGATGACCCTGAACTTCTGATCTTCCTGCTTCTATCCACTAAAATTACAGAGGTGCACTACCATACTTAGTTTTATTGGTGCTGGAGATCCAACCTAGGGTTTCATGCATGCTAGGCAAGCATGTGTCCAACAAAGCCACATCCCTGTCCTTGAAGGATCTTACTTTTCAGATTGTGTGTGTTGACCTCAGGACTCACCTCCCCTTTGCTTCTACCCTCCTGTGGGTCTCTGAAGACAGCTACCATATTCTACCTGGTGTCACCACTTTTCCCATGCATACCTATCTCTCCTACCAAATCACAGGCCACATGGTACCCACTCCCTCAAATACCAGGTGACCAGCTCTGGCCAGGGGCTGTGGGTTAGAGTAACATGAATCAGTTCCTGATGGAAGCATGGAAGAGCCGGCATGTATCTTTTGGCAGCCTTCAAACCTGCCACAGCCATAGTCCAAGTCTGGTGTTGAGATGATGGAGCTTAGGGCCAGGTGTGGTGGTGTGCACCTGCAATTCCAGCACTGCAGACTGAGACAAGAGACGCAAGAGTTCAAAGCTAGCTTGGGCTATACAGGAGTTCCAGACTAACCTGAAATATAACAAGAATCCTGTTTCAAAAACAAACCAAACCAGCAGCTTGAACTGCTGAGTGGCAGGCAGGACAGAGGACAGACTACCGGGGGCTGCCTGGTCTGTGGTGAGTGGAAAGTACACCTGTGGTACAAGCCCTGGAGATCCTGAGGTAGCAGATGACTGTATCACAGCCCACCCTGTCTGCACTGTAGACAGGGACTGTGGATGGGATACAGAACTTGTGTCCCTCCTCTGGTTTGCCTACATCAACAGCGATCATTTTTGGACAATGACATGGCTCTGTGCTCAGTGAAATCATTTCCTTCTTTCCCTGGGTACTCAGTATCCTGCAGCTGGCCCTGGCTGAACTCCCTTCATCTCTTTCTTTTCTGCTTGTCACATGCAGTGGAGCCTGAAGATTCCACTGGGGGTGGCCTACTCACAAGCTGGAAGAAGCCAGGCACCTGACTTAGCAAACTAAAGACCACCTGCAACAGGACATGACTCCTGCATGTTGGGCCACAGATGTGAAAGCGATCGAGCAGCATCATGAGTGAGAGCGCCCAAGGGGCCCCTGTACAAAGCAAAGGAAAGTAGAACAGATAGTCCAGGAAACTGAAAAACACCTAGAGGCTAAAATGAACACTCTTTGATCCCACCATTCCATTTCTAGGAGTAGCCTAGGAAAACATACATTCATAAAAGTAACGCAAACGATCCTAAAAGAGCCAAAGTAAATATAGAGGGTTAAGGATTAAATTTTTTGCAGTAATAGAAAAATCATGGCTTTTGAAATTTAATGTTGGACCTGTGAGATGGCTTAGCAGGTAAAGGCACTTGTTGACAAGCTTGACAGTTTGATCCTTTGAACCTACATGGTAGAAGGAGAATCCACTCCCACAAGCTGTCCCTGATCTCATACACAAAATGCATAAATGTGAAAAAAAAAGTAACTTACTTAATGACATAAATATTTATGTCAAAACATAGTTTAAAAAAGAAAACAGGGCTGGAGCGATGGTTCAGTGGTTAAGAACACTGACTATTCTTGCAGAAGACCCGGGTTCGAATCCCAGCAACCACATGGCAGTTAACAATTGTCTGTAACTCCAGTCCTGGGAGGATCCAAGGGCCTCTTCTGACCTCTGCAGGTATTGCACAACAGAGGTGCACTTACCTACACGCAGGCATAACACTCATACACATAAAATAAAAATTAAAAAAACAAAACAAAACAAAACAGAGTAGCTCAACTATATGCAGTCTGCTATGGAACAGGTATATAATACAAATGGTTTCTGATATATGGCTGAGTTCTAAATTCTATTTTTTTAGCTTTCTGGTCAAATTCTGAATTTTAGTTTTATCCCAAACTAGCAATATATGGTCTAATGCTGTCTCTAAATGCTGGGCAGTGGTAGCACTCCAGAGTTGAGTCAGTCATCAAGTAAGGAAGGGAAACCACTGGCACTCCAGCATGCTGTATGGCCAAAGCCTAGATATGCAGTAGGCTAGGTGTGTTCAGCACATTTTCTACCTAAGATGTTTGATCTACGCTGGGTTGGTTTATGGGAACATGACCCATCTCCAACTGTATGCACACACATGCACGGGGCAGAGAGTAAGATTAAACAATTAGCAGGGTTTGTCAGTGAGTAGTGAGACCATGTCCTTTCTCCCTGGCTGGTCACACCTTTAGCTAACGTGTGGTCAGCATCAGGGAAAACACGGAAGGGCACAAGTTCCCACCCCTCTCTATTCTAAAACCCTGTGACTAGAAACATCATCCATGCACCTGGCTCACCTCTCTCAGGGTGGTCAGTGTCCTCGTGTGCATGGTAACCTGCTTGGTGAGGTCCCTATTGTCCTTCTCCAGCTCCTTCAGCTTGCTGGCCGCATCACGACATCGGGCCAGCTCCTTGTCCAGCGCGCGGCTCTCCTTCTCGGCCGCAGTCAGCTTGGCAGTGCTGTCGTCCAGGACGGCGTCCTTGAGCTCCACCTGCTGCCACAGCCGCTTGGCCTCCTTCTCCAGCAGTTTCTTATCCTTCTCCAGCTGGGCCACCTCCTGCTCCAGGGCCTTCCTGTCCTGCTCAGCCCTCTCCAGCTGCTTGTTGCTGAGCTGCAGGCTCTCCAGGTCGCGCCTCAGGGCCTGGTGCTCGGCCTCCAGCTCGCCCAGCTCCTGCTCCAGGGCCTGCGACTTGTGGCTGCTGCTCTCGAGGTTCTGCTGCAGCCGGAGGTTCTCAGCGCTCACACTCTGGTAGCTGAGCTCCAGGCGCTCAGACTTCTTGCTCAGGGCCTTCAGAAGCTCCACGTTCTTCCGCAATTCCTCCTTCTCCCGCTCCAGCTGCTGGTTCTCCCTCTCGATCTGCGCCATCTTGGCACTGGTGAAGCGCATGGTCTCCACCATCTTGCGCAGCTCCAGGTTCTCCTGATCCAGCTGCTTGTTGTCCCGCTCGAGGCCCTCGAGCTGCACCGACACGTTCTGCAGGGTGTCTAAGGACTTCCTCAGCGTCCGGTTCTCTAGCTCCAGGCCCTGGCTCTCATGCTCCAGGGCCTCCACCTTCTCGGTGACCGTCTGCAGGGAGGTCACCTTCTTGGTCAGCTGCTCGTTCTCCTTCTCCAGCCGGTGCAGCTCCCTCTCCAGCGTCTCCGCCCGCTCTCCCTTCTCCTTGGCCTGCTCCAAGTCCCTGTGGAGCTGCTTCTTCTCCAGCTCCAGCTGGCTGAGTTTGCTGCCAGCCTCCGTCACAGCCTGGTGGAGGGCCCTGTTCTCCTTCTCCACATCCTTCCCACTGTTGACCTGTGGCCTCTCTCGCAGTGACCATACAGCTTGGTGGAGGTGGCCCTTCTCCTGCTCCAGATCCTTAATCTATGAGAAAAGAGATTAGCCATGACCCAGGTTGCTGCATGCATCTGCCAGTAATTTGGGTTCACGTGGGGCTGCCAAGTGGAAGTATTTAACAGTTACTCCACTGTTGCACTCAAAACCCCTGCCTCCCTGCCTCCCTCCCTCAGCCTGGTAGTCACAGGTTAGCAGGTGACCAACCAGCGCCAACATCTGCTTGCCAAAACACAATACAGCAAGCATGGTTTTAAACATAAATGACAGCTTTCCTTCTTTTAGGCTTTAGTGATTCCCTTGGTCTTTTTTGTCATGGGCAGAACTCCAGCCTCTATGGTCTTCTCTTAGGTCGCTTTCCTCTAGCTCCCAATTTCTTCCTACCATGAACACACTGTGCAGGCCACACCCTGTGCTTTGGTCCCTTCCCTGGGTCTTTCTCAGCCTCATGGTCAGCACACCAAGCAACCTTGCACAATGGCTCCAATGGCGCCCTGCACGCCAGTATCTTTTTTCTTTTGTCTATTCATCCAAGATCCCTGTGCCTGTCACCTGTGCCTGGTACTTGCCTTCCAGACTAAGCTCCACGTGTGGCACCCTATCGTCTTTTCACCCTGTGCAGTGCCAGTCTGACCTTTCCCCCATGTCTTACTGATCTACAACAAAGGATAAAAACCTAAAACACCTGATACCCCAGCCTGCCTACCAGGTCAAGGAACCACATTTCAGATTTGGCTAGTGTCTCTTGAAAGTGTCCTGGGAGCAGCCTCTCTTTGTCTCTTTACCCTCTACCTTCTTTTAGTCCAGACCTTGGAGCTGGTCAGCAGCGTCTAAGGGGGCCCGTGAAGGAAGAATGGCCTGGTCCTGATGACATCACTGAGCCACTGCGGCAGAACCCTGGGACTTCACGTGGTGTGCGGCATGAAGAACACTGCACGTTTGCCAAGGTCTTAGCCGAATCACTATGGACTTTTAGAAGCGGCTTGTTGTCTTGTGTACTGCAAAGTTTAGCAGCCTCCTTGGCATCCATCCACGGCCTAGTTAGCTTTAACTGTCAACCTGACATAGCCCAGAGTTATCTGAGAGGCGGGTCTCAACTGAGGGAGTTCCCAGATCAAGCTGGCCTGTGGGCATGTCTCAGGGGGACTGTCTTGATTGTTTACTGATACAGGAGGGCCCAGCCCGATGTGAATACCACCATTCCCTGAGCAGGTGGCCCTGGGCTGTATAAGAAAGCTAGCCAAGCACAAGTCTGAGAAATCTAGCAAGCAAGCAGCATCCTCCGTGGCTCCTGCCGTACTTCCCTGGCTGTGAGTGAGTATTCTAGTCAGAGGTAATGCTGTGTGGAACAGCAGCTGTCCTGCCTTTAAGTTCCTGCCCTGACTTCCCTCAATGATGATTTATAACCTATAAGCTGAGATAAACCATTTCCTCCCCTAAATTGCTTTTGGTCATGATATATCAGAGCAACCGAATGAAACCAGAATAACCACAGCATGCCAGGAGTACCAGTCCTCTCCTCCCTCAAGTCAGGACACTCAGAGCTGTCTGGAGACTACTAAATGTGCAGCCATGGATCTGAGACAGGGTGTGGACATGGCTGTAACTCCAGCTCTTCCTTTGCCAGCATGAGTCCCAGCAGAGGAGGGAGGTGGTGGCGAAGGTGACGCCTACCTGCCTGGCCTTGTCGGCCTTCAGGGTTTCCATGTCGCTCTGCAGCTGTTCTTTTTCTCGGATCAGCTCCTCGCTGAGGGTCTCCAGATCTTGGTTGCTCTGCTTTTCTCTCTCCAGCTGGGTTTGCAGCTTTTCAATCTACAGAACCAAAGACCCCAGCCTGTGTGACAGACTTACCAAACAAGCTATGTTTTAAATGAAACAAACCCCTCTCAGCCCAGGTTGTATGAACAGGCCTTTCTTGAGGAAAAAGGTCCCGGCATCACTCTACAGCAATCCCCCCCTTCTGCCCCCGGCTATCCACTCGGTATGAGCTGCACTTCCTGCCTGGGATGAGAGAAATGTCATTGGGCAGCTCTGCTCAAGTCTGTCCCAGACTACCCATGCTGCCCTATGTCCAAACTACCTCAGGTCTCCTGTTTCTTGACCTCATCTGCTCTGTGTCAGACCACATGCCACAAGTGACTAGCGCCAGGTGCTCTACAAGGACCTCATGCTTTCCCTTTCCTTACCCTTATCACTGGTGATAGCACTCAGCTGCTCAGACATGCCTCTGTTCTGCCACTTTCTAGGTAAACATGTCACCAAGCTCTGCCCCCTCTACCCATTCTACTTTCCCACATACCCCACAGTTGGTGCCCTAGGCTGGACTATATCACTCTGACTAGACAGTTGCCCTCCCATCCCCACTTTCCAACACCAAGCTCTGATGCTGGAACCTACTAGTGCCCAAGTTTCCTAGAGTACAAGTACCCAGACCAGAGCTCCTCACAACTCGTGGTGCATCTGAGCATCTGGGTGCCTGGTAAGACACACACCCTAACTTAGCAGGGCCAGTTATCCAGCTCCCTGGAGATGCCCATGCTGTCCCTTCCTGCCATCACCGAGCTTCCTCAGCATGAGGTAAAGGCATTAATGCTGGTCTGGGACACAGAGTCAAAATCTGTCCCCCCCTACTAACACGTGGCCTCAAGCAAGTTCCTAATAGGGCCAGTGATATCCATCATCGTCAGTCACAATACCTGCTGTACCAAGTGCAGTGCTGGTGGCTGACCCTCCCTAGAGTTGGCTGGGCCCATGCCCAATTTTTGACACAGTGGGTCTGGATCTTAGTGCACTTTGGGCTGCTGGCTGGGGGTCCTCAAGAACAATCACCAGAGTAGCTTGGAAGCATCTGAAGTTTCAGATCACCATTCAACCTGAACCTCTGAGGGGAGTACCTGGGATGCCCAGTGACCCCATGAGCAGCAGGGGCTGAGCAGCTGCTCTCAGGCTGTCTGAACTGAGGCACTGCATGGACAAAGGTCCAAGCTCTCACCATTCTGAGCATCTGTCTATAGTAGCCCTGCCACCTTTCTCCTAGGTAAGGGGTCACCCAGTCTTCCCATCCCATAGATCTGTGTATCATCACACCCTCTACAGAGGAAGGTGGCCATGGGGTTCATCAGCAGGAGTGGGGCCAGTATAGGTGTGCATGTATCATGGCTGTTAGAGCCCCAACTTGGGACCCCAAGATGGGTGTACCTCATCTAGCCATGCCTGTTTAAGACATTCCACGTATGTCATATACCACCCACAAGTTTTTTTCTAAGTCAAGAGCAGCTGCTTCACCTTTTAAATCCCTGTGCCGCTCCTTAACTAAGAGCTGATACCCAGCAGGAAGGCAGGGTTACCTCAGCACAGAGAATTCTGTGGGGCCAGAAATGGGAAGCAGTTACCAGCAGGAGGGGGTCAGTTATGGAAGAGGGAACTGACCCACAGAGGTCAGTGACTGGCCTGAGGCCTTCAGGCAGGAGGAAGCAGGGCTGGAATCCAGCTCTCTCCTGCATATACTCACAGGTCTGTGGGATGAGGCCCCCAGCTCTGCCCTGAGCTACACTGAATGCCATGGCCTGCCAGCTCAGGTCTCACCTCTGTAACCCTGTCTGCTTGACCCTTCACACCCAGAGAAAGAGTACTATGCTAGCCTTTGTTTCTGACATTGTTGCTGCTGGTCTAAACAAGGGGTTTCCCCATGTCCTGCCTGCCACCTCTGGACCCTCTTCATCTTTCTCCTTTCTTGGTTCTCTGTCCCACACACTGTCGCTCACTGAAGAGAACAGAATCCCTGAGCAAGCTGGCTCTGCAAGATTGAGAGCTTGCTGCAGGCCTACGGGCCTGGGAGGGTATCTGTCCTCCACACAGCCTGAACTCAGACACTTCAGGCAGCTGCTGCTACCTTCCCATGACTGCCCTGAAGGACACCCCTCTCCTTCTGAAAATAAGGACTTTTCTCTGTGGCTGAAGGAACTGAACTCTTATGACACCGACATAAAGTTGCACAAAGAGAGGAGAGAGGTAGTGCCTCAATGGTGCATGGAGGTGCCAGAGGGTTCCAGGGAAGAACATGAAGTCTGAGAACTCAGATTTCCATGGATGCATCTGACCTAAGCCAGCCTTCAGCCTGGCTGTGCTGGGGGTGAGACAGGAGAGCCAGGCTAGCTGCAAGAACTCCATGTGGGCTCTCTGCTGAGTCCCACTATGCAGAGTGGAGCACGGCTGAGGCTGGATAAAGGAAATTCGGTGGGAGCGGGGGGCTGAGCTGGTTGAAAGTGACTGACTATGCATTACTGCTAGCACTGGAGTATTTATCCACCAACACAGAGAACCTCTGTTATGAACCAGGCAAACAGGAGCCCAAAAACCAATGAGACAAGTCCAAAGGACGACAGAACAGCCACCGCTGCTGGCAGGACAGACTGAAGTGGGACCTGTGGCAGCTGAGCAGCACACAGACAAGGGCTCCATGCACGGGGCCCTGGCCTGGTAACAGCAGCTCTCCTAGACCCTCACTGTTCTCCAGCCACTGGGAACTCTGGTTCCCTGGGACTATAGCAGGCAGGGCCAGTCACAGGCCAGAGAACTCAGCAGAAGGGAAACAGAAGGCCAGGATTGACAGATGGGCAGGAACAGTCATGCTAGTGGCAGCACCCGCCACACATTCCTGTTTGTAGCGAGAACAAGCCATAGCAGGTAAGCGAGTGGTGCTGCCTGTGGGACCTCATGAGGGTGGCCCACACTGTCCCTGAGCCAGCAAGAGGACACTGCAGACTTTCCTTTGAAGACCCTGAAAACCAGCAGGGAAGGAGAGTCTCATCTTCCTGTCAGTTCTTTTCTGTCCTATCCAAGACAGGGTGCCCATTTATATAGACATTCTCCAGGCCCATAGGAACCTAGGAAACCAAAACTTGAGGTCACCTCTCCCATTTTTTGCCCTGCATCAAAAGACAAGGCATGAGATGGGGATGGGGAGGTATCTTCCACTATCTATGAAAACAGGGCAAGCCACTTGGCAGCCAAAATGCTGTCGACACACAGCACTTCAAAGGGATAAGAAGAGGAGGCAATGTAGCTAGACGCTCCCATGTGGGGCCCTTTCACAGCAGGAGGGTGTGTGCCAAGCCCCACTCAGAGGGAAGGGCCCAGCAGAGGCAGGACCCTTAGGGCGTGGTCTCCTGCCTGCAGCCCTCATTATCCCCACTGCCCTGGGGGCCTTGATATGGGACTAAGGAGTATTTCAGGACACATGCAGACATAAGAGACAGCTCCTGCATGATGGCTGCCAGCAAGAAAGTGCTTGCCGTCTCCCTCCCTCCCTGCAATCTGGCAGTGGGTGCACTGAAAACACAGAAGGCACCTGCAACTCCTGCAGGGCAGACTAATTCCCCCAAGCCCCACTCCAGCAAGGTCACCTTCTTGCTAAGCTGGTGATTCTCCTTTTCCAACTCCCCGCACTTGAGGCTGCTCTCCTCCAGAGCCAGCGATGTGTCCCGCAGACCCTGGATGGTGCTCTGAAGGCTCTGGTTCTCCTTCTCCAGCTTCAGGATGCGGCTGGAGGCACACTCGTTCAGTTCAAACACGAAGGACTTCCTGGAGGCTGAAGTGTCAAGACTGTCAGGGCCTACCATTCCAGGAACCTGCTTCCACGCTCTGCCACAAGCCCTGAGCCTTGACAGTCAGGAGCCCCTCCTGTTCTCCCCTCTTATCCCAGTGAGGCTGCTGCTTCAGCACCAAGGTGAGGTTCCTCTACTGGCTCCGAGTTGGGATGTACTCAACCTAGAGCTCAAGGGAAAAATGGGCTGTAGCCCACGAGCCAATGTAGGAGTTAAAGACCGTGGAAATCAGAGGAATCTGGGTTACTAGGCAGCTCCCCTGACTGACTTAAGGGCTGCACACATTTTCTGTGCCTGCTCTAAAAGCAGTGGACATCTGGGAGGCTCAGCAAGGAAAACATAGTAGGTGACCGGCTGGCTGTGGATGAGGCGTATATTGAGTGTGCACCTGTACACAATGCTCAGAGCTTGTCAACTGGGCCAGAGCCTTGACACACAGCTTTCTTTTTAGGATTTCACAACTATGTTGAAGAAAAGTGAAACAAGCACATGCAAACTGCTTTAAATTTCTAAGTGAGGTGGGATATAAGCTAAATATTTAAAAATGTAGATTATCACCTCTGCTTTTTAAATAGTTTAGCACTTATATTAAGAGTCAAGAACCAGGGTTCTTGGCCCTTTCCTCCTACAAGTAGGTGTAAGATAAGTAACAGAGTTTCATGGGAAGAAAACAGAGTCACGCCTGTTGGTGAGACTCTCATCTGTCCACTTATTTCCTCAAGTAATATCTCACTGTATTGATGCTGTTATTGTTATGTTATCTCCCTGCCACTCCTGTCCCTTATTCATCCTCCAGGGGTTATGAGCAGAGAGGGCGGGGGCACCTGTAGCAAAGCCACCAAGGTGCAAACTCTGCGATGTGCATGCTAGATCTTCTGGGAAACCTTACATATGTTTGTGTATTCCTTTCTGCTATCATCTCCCAGGGCAAACATAACAGACCCAACAGTCCAGAGTGTCCTAAAGACACAATCAACAGTGGGCAAGGCAGTAGCAGGGAGGGGGACGGAACACAAACACATTGTGTCCAATCCTAGTGTCAAAAGATTTGGGGACACTTCAGAGGCTTCTTCCCAGCTATGCTACATAAAGATACTAACCAAAGTAAAATATCTGGCCTAAATTAAAACTCACTAACTCAACCTGTGGTCATTTATCCCCAGGGTGACTCTGGGGGCCGGCTCAGCACCTTCATTTTGCAGATGAGAAAACTGAAGTTTAAAGGTACAATACTGCCCCAGGTCATCAGCTAACAAGCAAAGGAGCAAACTTTACGCCAGGTCCACCAGGTCTTTCTGATTCAGAGCTCACTGGGAAGGTCATGGGTACAGCTTGGTGGCAGAGTATGGGCTTAGCATGCACAAGGGCCTGGCTTCAATCCTCAATATAAAGGGGGAAAAAAACCCTGAAGCATTTAGTCAGGCACATATAAATAAATGTGATTTTTTTTTTTTTTTTTCTGGTCTTTTTGAGACAGGATCTCTCTGTGGCTCCAGATGGCCTTGAACTCACAAAGATCTGCCTGCCTCTGCCTCCCGAGTGCTGGGATTAAGGTGCTGGGCCACGCCACCTGGCTAAATGTGATTTTTAAAAAAATACATTTATTATTATTATTTTTTAATATGAGTGTATTGCCTGAATGTATTAAGTGCAACCTTGTGCAATGTCTGCAGAGGTCAGAAGAGGGCGTCAGATCCCCTGGAGTTATGGATGCTTGTTAGCCACCATGTGGGTGCAGGGAACCAACCTTAGGTCCTCTGTAAGAGCAGCCAGTGCTCTCAACTGCTGCTCTCTCCAGTCCCATAAATGTGATTTTTTGAGCCGGGTGTGGTGGTGCACACCTCTGATCCCAGCACTTGGGAGGCAGAGGCAGGCGGATCTCAGTGAGTTCGAGGCCAGCCTGGTCTACATAGTGAGTTCTAGGCCAGCTGGGGCTACTGGGAGACCCTGTCTCAAAAAAAGACCAAAAAAAAAAAAAAAAAAGTGATTTTTAAAAAAATTACAAAAAAAAAAAAGAATAAATCATGGCCACTGTTCTTAAAGGGCTCTCAAAGTACAGTGCATAGCATGAAATGGTCAGGCCTTCTACCCACAGCCACCTGGATGCCAGACTGGCCTACACTGCCTCTCCCGTTGCTCCAGAAGGGAGCAGTTCCTCCTGGTGGGCTTGAACTTCAGAGACACGGAGTCCACAGACTCGCATCCTGCATGGCTTCTAGACAGCTCAGTTTAGTATAGAAGAACCAAAGCAGGCAATGATTTAAGTTCAGAACTGATAAGGGCCGCCCCCACCCCAATATTCAGCAGCTTTCAATGACATTGGCACTATTTCTCAGGGATTTTAATCAGAATTTTTCAAGCCTAAAACAAGCCAAATGCTTAGCCTGCTCTGTAAAGTGCTAAGTCAATACTAACTTGCAATATGGGGTGCTTGGGAAAGGTGAATGCAGCTATTTTCAAACACAGGAACTGGCTTATTGTTTTTTGGGCACTGGAGCTTCCTGCTCAGTGCTGACTGGGGTCCCCCACCCTTCCCATGATGGCTACCTTATCTCAGGGTACCGGCAGAGGGCAGCAGTGTGTGCCAGGAGAGAGGAAGGAGCCAGAAGATCTGTGGAGAGCTTGTGACTGGGGAGCAGCAGCCCTCAGCATTCCCACCCAGGAGACAGAACAGGCTGCATCCATCCTGCCCCATTATGCAAATGAACATGTCAAGTGATGCCCAGGGTTCATTTATAGCAAGGATTAGCGATCACAGGGGACACTCCTGGAGTCAAGGCTTTCAGTCATCTAAGACAGGCCTAGGATGTTCTCAGGGCACCAGCAGGCTGTGATCTGGAAGCTCCTGAGGGTCCATATGGGAAACAGAGAAATCAGGCAACATTTCATTTGTAGTTCACGTCCCAACATCTGGGCTGCCAGACCTCTCATGTTTTCCCTGGGGAGAAGTGTAATGAAACAGTTCCAAACGGCACTTGAAAGAAATCATATTTAGTTGGGGAGAATGGACCAGCTGACAAGAAGACTCAGAATGAGCAGCAGCAGTCATGGCCAGGCTGGGTCTGAGGCACCACACACCACCCACCGTCTGACAAGTCTGCATTCTTGGACAGCTGCTCCAGTTCCCAGCCCAGGTGGGCCGACTCGTTCATGCTCTGTTTCTGGGCGATCTCGAGAACCATGTTTTCTTCCAGTAGTTCCTCAATTCGTTTTTTATCTGTGTCCCGATCCTAAGGCAGAAAGAGGGCAGGTGTGAGAACAGGCCTCTGGCTGGCCTCAGACCTGGAGTATCTACCACTATCCACTGTGAAAGGGCAAAAAGCTGTGCACAGCACCCCATATAGGGACCCATCTCGACAGAGACAGTCACTAGACAGTAGCTTGACCTGGCTACTTAAGTCAAAAAGACTGTTCCAAGGTCTAACTGAATGCTCTCTGAACACAGGGATGCTTTGAATAGTGCTTTGTTATAGGCACTGTGGTGAAGGGCAATGTGTTGGCTTCAGGTAGGTCTCTGAGGCCAAAATTGTGAAGGGGCTGATACTACTGCTCAACCCACACAAGAAACACCAGCAAGGAACCTGTGAAAGACACATGTGCATGTGCACCCTTGCAGAGAAGCAACATAAAAGTCAGGTCCTAGCTGTTTTGGGGTAGAAGTCCTGAGCCTGGCAAGCTACTCTCTGTGGTCAACAAGCAAAATCCCCCCCAAAAACAAAAAAAAAAAAACAAGCAAAATCCAGTAGCTGAACCATCAGAAGACCTGGTGTCCACCTGATGCCACCCCATCCTATGGCCTCATACTTGGTATCCGCTTGGTAATACCAGTTCTAGGTCGTGAAGCTTGGACTTCAGCTGCAGGTTCTCTTTCTCCAGCTCATGGACCTTATCACTGCGGGCCCGGGAGGCCGTCAGCTGCTCCTCCAACATGGCCTTGGTTTCGATTAAGATGATGTTGTCTTCTCTCAGCTCCTGAAGAGCAGAAGCCATCAGGAAAGCCATCAGATAAAAGCCAGGGTGATGACCACAGGATTCCCAGCCAAAGCTCTTCAATGCCCCTGGAGCCAAGCAACCAGCCCAGGGCCCCACCTGTGACAGGAAGCTCTTGTCAGGCTCACCTGTTCCCACAAGGCCAGACAAGTGGACTTTTCTACTCAAAGAAAAAATTATGAATCAAGAAAACATTCAATGGAGCTGGGGGTGTGATCAGTGGTAGACATCTAGGATGTACAAGATCCTGGGTTTGATCCCCAGTACAGGAAAAAATAACTTTGGAAAGACAATCCTTCCCCAAGGTCTTCCACAGGTCAAATGATGTTAAAGCTTGAACCTTTCAGGACTCACCCAATGGAAAAGTGGGCTCTGCCTACAATATGGGACCTCTCTGGTCTGAGTTTCCTCCAACAAAAGAGGGGGCAAGCTGAGAGTCTGTGGAGGGAAAGAAGCCCAGAACTGAGCTGGCCCCTCAACTGAATAATTATGCCAGAAAAGGCAGTCTTTATGACAGTCAAGTCGGAGCCCAGCAAAACACGTAAATATGAACCTGAAAGGCAAGCACAGGGCAAAGGTACATGGCCTCTGCTAGTCCAGGAGGAAGCTTATCTGTGCCATGTTTGTAGAATCCTGTCCTGGGCCTTCAGTTTCTGTCATTCCTCTGAGCCCTTCCCAGCAGCATTTGCTATGGGGTGGGGGCGTGGTGGCTGCATGCCCCCCCTCATGCCTTCACAGCTTACAAACACTGAAAACCTGCTTTCCTCATGCTTCCCAAGGCTTGTCCTCACAGACTGCAACAGACACCAAGTTCCGCTTACCCACCACATGCTCATTCTCCCACATGAGCCTAAATCCAAGCTTGCTGGTGGAGGGAAGCCACCAGTTTTCCTCTCATGGACACGGGCCTGATCAAAGCTGGCCCTAGGGAAGCGGCTCATTGATTCTGGCGTTGCCTGTGCGCCTCCAGATTCGCCATCCCCCACAAAGACCACAGCCACTGTGGCTGGTTCTGCCTTACCTGCTCCCCACAGTACCCCTCTGAGAGGGCATGGGAGTCAAGGACGACCTCTTCCTATAGATGAAGGAGACTTAAGTCAGAGTCCTGACACACCTGCTCCCTCAGCTACAGGGATCTGACCCCACATTTTCTCCATGACCTTCATCTGGGTCTTGGGTTAGTGAAAGAGGTCCAGACTGCCACTAATGACATGAGCACAATGACGGTCTCAAGAAGGAAAAGGGTTTGGCACTCTCTCTGCAGCTACTTCCACCCTGTGTTCTATCAACCAGCACCTCCATCCTCACTGGTCTCAGGCTGTAAGCAACAAGAAGACAGGCCACCCCTTTATCCATACAGCCAACTCCTACTCCATCTTTAAGACCCACCCTGAGTGGCCCCCTCTGAGGAGGACTTGGGAATCTACTTTATTCACTGAGTCAAGTCAGATATTTGGGTCCCATCATTCCCTGCTCTTACTCTGAGGTAATGATGGTTAACCTCTTTCCTCAGGCTGGTAACGACTTGAGGCACAACTGTTGCACTGAAAGGAGTATGCAAGGTGGACTTTGAAGGTCATAGATACCTGACAGGCAGGGACAGACATAGGTGCCCAAGAATGGAGCGGAGTACCTAAAACAATCATCTCTAACAACCTTTCAAACAGCCTCAATGTTCTGGTAGCCTCAAACTCCATGGTATTAAGTGACGGAAATATTCCACCCTGCATTGTATACCTACCACCTCATAAGTGAGAGAAAAGCACTGAAGGACAACTGAGCCCACATTCCTGGAGGGCAAGGGCTCCATCGGTGGTGTGCAGGGGTGATAAAGTCAAGCCCACTGCAGCTGTCCAAGGCTGGCATGACCACCCTGCCCCACCAGGAGGCTGTTTTCAGACCAAACCCAGCCCAGCCAACAGCTGGGGTATTTATAAAACCACAGGCCAGGCCCAAAGGATTGTTCCCAAGAGGTTCAAGGGTCCACTGAGACTTGAAAGATTGGGTCAGGCAAAAGGCTAAGTGGGTCAACTGCCATGTCTGTGCCATAAGAACTCCAAGTAGGAATGTGGGTTAGACAATGTGCATGAAATTCTCCATGCATGGTGCCTGGACAAGGCAGCTGTTAGGTCAGTCACTTCACACCTGTGAAAGAAAAGGTTCAATCCAGCATTCATCCATGAAACAACCCCCTTGTTAACACACAAAAATTGGTTTTCCAGGGTTTGGGGGTATAGCTGAGTAGTAGAGGATTTGCTTAGCATGCCTGAAGCCCTGGGCTCCATCCCTAATACCACAAAACAGACAACAAAAAAATACTTTCTCAGCCAGGCGTGGTAATGCACACCTATAGTCTCAGCATTTGGGAGGCAGAGGCAGGTGGATCTCTGCGAGTTCAAGGCCAACCTGGTCTACATAGTGAGTTCCAGGACAGCTGGGGCTACAGGGAGACCCTGCCTCAAAAAGACAAAAAAACAAAACAAAACAAAACAAAAAAAACAACTGGTTTCTAGGAGTGCCTCCTATCTCCCACAAGCATCAAACACCAGAGGGGACATAGAGTCAAAGAAACAAACTGTTCTCCCTCCCAGTAAGCATGCATCAAACATATAGTGCTTTCTGGGCATCCACTGCACAGAAAGCCCAGGGATGCTGGGGAGAGCAGGAGCCAGAGCAACAGACCTTTTTCTTTCCTGTTGTGGCCATAAACACCAGTCCTCACCCAGCATCACATTCATCAGCTCCACTGGCATACAGGGTCAAAGATATGCTCTACCCCGTGACCCGCTCCCCCGACCAGAAAGCCTGCTCACCTCAAATATAGCCTGACCCTAGGAATGTGGGGACCAGACCAGAAACCAGAAGTCCCTACTATCCTGCTCAACTCCTCAGCTTGCCAGATCGCATCACCCTCCTCCTCAGAAGCAACAAGGACACAGGAAATTCCCAAGGTGGAATAGAAGATCCCCAACTCAGCATTTGAAGTCTCCTAGACCCCTAAGCATCTAAGGTCTTCTAGACAAATTCCCTGGTTTTTTGCATTCCTCACCGGGGACACGATACTTAGTTCAACATGACCTGAAGGTGGCTGGGGCCCCTCCATGAGCACCTCTAGCCCTCCTGATCATCCCCTCAACCCACCTCCAACCCTTTCTTGCTCCTGTGGCCAAGGCTCTGGCTCCTTCACTGGCAGCCAGTCAGAGCCACAGAGGCGGCCAGCCACATTCCAATCCCAGCCCACCTGCTTACCACTGTGACGCTGGGCAAGTTATTTATTAATCTTGAAGAAAGGAGAGGAAGTGGTCATGGCAGCTATACCTCATAGGGTCACTGTAGGGCTTAAATGCAATGGGGGAGCTCGAGTTCAACACAGTGCAGGCTCTATAAACACAGTAACTCCTGCTCACCTCCAAGCCTCACTGTGTACCTGTTCCATAAAGGACCAGACAACAATACTCTTTGCCCCTGGGGTGGGGGTGCTCCTAAGTCTGTCAGGACTTAACCCTGCAGGGTAGCACAAAAGCAGCCAAAGACAATAAATGGGGGCATCTGTGTTCTAATAAAACTTTATTCATAAAAACCAATGGTGGGACTATCTGTAAGGTACAAACTCTGTCCTCCCAGGCTCATAGTCTGGTCAGAAACAGACAGAAAAAAATATTATGACAATACCACATTTCAAGCACTGCCCAGAGAAAGAGGATTTATAAAGGAACCGTGAAGCAGGAGGCTGGGGGTGTGGCTTGCAGAGCTCACCAATCCAGCCCTTATTCTGGCCCTAAACTGATTCCAGAGTCTTAAGGGGTCTGAAGTATAAGGAGAGGCCGGCAGCTCAGCAAAAGCTGAGAAAGCCCTGGGGGAGCTGAGGGGCCAGACAGCTGGGCCACAGATAAGAGCAAGTGTGGATTCATCCAAGCACTGGAGAGAGGTTATCTGGTGGACCACTAGAGAGGATACCCTGGTAGCAGGTCAGGGGACTAAGCAGCACAGCCAGTTTAGATTCAGGGAGGGTTTCTGTGTACAGACACTGGAGTATCCAGAGCAAACCAGCAGGAGGCAGCCAAGGAGGCAGGCATAGGCCTCAGATACCTGCTGTGGATAGTGACAGGCTTGGAGGTGGGAACACTGGTGTAGAGGACGACGAGCCCTTGGACCCAATTCAGGTAGGGTGGGATGAGGAGGAAGAAAGAAGGGACGTGGACCCCTGCTTGGGCTTAAAGTACCAAGTACAAGGACAACTCCAGAGTCAACAGGAGCTGGTGTGGAGGCCGGACAATGAATCTGACACAATACCTGAGATTCCTATGAGCGATCAAGAGAGGGCAGTCTGACAGCAGTTAAGGGACCAACCCAAAGATAAAGGCACTGGACTTTAGTAAGCACAGAATCCCGGACACCTCCCACTAAAGGTGGTAGGTATATCTAGAGAGCTTCAGGAAACCCAGGGCTCAGGTGAATGAACTGGTCTGGGCCTAGGGCAGACCTGGAGGAGGCAAACAAGGCTGGGCTCCATCTCCCAAACCCACAGATCCTGCGCCTTCCTGACCATGGGCTGCACTGCTGTCATTTTAGGGGTGTGACCTTGGAATGGGGGTAGTTGGGTGTGAGACACTCTGGGACTGATCATTAACCCAGCTCCTAAGTAAAGGCTGGGGCCTTGCCAGTGACCCACCCATTCCTCTGGCTGCCTTTTCACTGCAGGGACCCTTATCTCCACTCCTATAAAGGCTGACTAGATAAGCTTGCTGAAGACAGGCCTCTGTGCATAGGAGGCCAGGGCAGGAGGGTGTCAGAGACGCCCAGGCCACACCCACCTTTCATAACAGGCCAATGTTTGCCCAGGACTTGGCAAGATAGCGTACACTTCAGGCTCTCTGCCTCCCTGGTTGTTTAGTTTGAAACCAGCACTTCCTAGAAACCTGTTGATGCACATAGGACCACTCTACCCAGGATGTACACAGTACCTGGGCATCTGTTCTTTGCCTTTGGCAGTTTTTAGTCAATCATGAAATACAGGGACAAAAAAACCTTCTAGTCATGTCACTGCTGCGGCTCCTATCACTGGCACTCCTCTGACTACGTCCTTCTTGCTACAGGCAGTGGTCCCGAGGGAGACCAGTTTTCAATAGGAAGTCAAGGGCCAACTGTGAACCTACCCTACCCTTCCTCCTGTCCCCAGGGTAGCTACACTGCTTCTAATGTGGAAATCCAACCCTCAGAAGAATTAAACCAGGCATCACGAAAAAGCTGCTAGAAGTTTAAAAACAAAGCATCTGAATGTGTGGTCCACATTTGCTAACCCAAACTAAACTTGCCCTGGACCTGAATTCTTTATCTCCTCTTCCCACTGGGTTCCTCCTTTGGTGATCTGTACTGTGGTGCATTTTCTAAGTCAGGCTGGGCAGACTCTCAGAGAGGGCATCACAGTCACCCCCAACCCTGGCACTGCTACCTAGAAGTGTCATAAATGTGGGGTCTGGTGAGAAAGCCATAGCCAGGCTCCTGCTTAGGTGAGCCTGCTCATCTGCCCATCACAACTAATGCTCCAGTCCTGAGGGACAGAGTCTCACCTTTCTCCTCGGCATTCTCTCCAGAATGCAAAACTCATTACTGAGCAATAGTTTTTCCACCAGTGCCAGGGTTCCCTAGGACTGTGGGTGCAGCAGACCTTATGCTCACGCTCATGTGAGGCAGCCTCCTCATCATCAAGGCTGGAAGTCCACATACATGGTGCCTCTGACCACAGACAGGTCTTGAGTTCTATAATTCCTGTTGTGGAAGAGAGCGGTCTGCAGCCAAGGGCCTCTGCAGAAAAGCATCCCAAAGTCAGATGTGGAGGCCCGTGCCGGTAATCCTGGCACTCAGGCAAGAAGATCCTGAGTTCCAGGCCAGCCTGGGCAACATTGTGAGGTCCTGTTTCAAAACTGGCTGAGGATCCTCCGGCATGGGAGCCAAGCAGCACTGTCTGGAGAATGTAGATTTCTAGGGCCTGCTCTTAGGAACCCAGGGGGCAAGGAATGCTGCCCGAGGATGGGGAGTGGGGGAGAGGATGGGGAAGTGAGGGGTGTGTGCATTGTGTGTAGGCCAGAGGCCAATGCAGAGTATCTCCCTCAATTACTTCTTCACCTTGTTTTTTTTTTAAATCTGGAGCTCACCAATTGGCTAGATTGGCTGGTCAGTAAGCCCTGGGGACCATACATCCTCCTCCCCAGTGCTGGGATTACAGGTGCTGTCTGGACTCAGGTCCTGATGCTTTCCCAGCAAGCACTATACCAACTGAGTCATGCCTACTGTCCCCCATTAATTTTAGGACTATGTGTGTTTTCAACAGGCCTCCCAGCTAATTCAGACCACATCTTCAGACATCAAGAGTTGACACTCAGGGAAGGAAGGTGTTTCACAGCTTTAAACTGATTAATATTTCTGTTTCACAATTAAGTTGATACAGTTAACCAGGAATGAGTTGATTCAAAGGAGCTAATGCCTCTACTGTCCTTTTACTTAAAGTGTGTGTGTGTGTGTGTGTGTGTGTGTGTGTGTGTGTATGTGTATTGTATACTTGAGGTCAGAGCAGAACATCAGTGACCTCTGACTCTTCACCTTATTCCCTTGGGACACAGTCTCTCCTTAAATCTGGAGTTTGACATTATTTTTTGGCCAACAAGCCCTAATGACCCCCTCCCCTGCCTCTGCCCTCCCCACCACTGGGATTACAGACATGCAGCCACATCTGGCTTTTTATGTGGGTGGTGGGGATCCAAACCCAGGTCCTCATGCTTGGGTAGCAAGTACTCTTATCCACTGAGTGATCTCTCCAGGTCATGTAAGTGATTCTTTGAGACAGAGTCTCATGTAACTCAAGCTGGCGTCAAACTCACTAGGAGGCCAGGGATGATCCTGAATTCCTGATCTTCCTGACTCTGCCTCCCAAGTGCTAGGATTACAGGTGTGCACCACTATGTCCAGTTTACATGTTCCCTTCTATCACCAATATTTTCTCATGAAAAATATAAAATGTATTGAAAAGTTAAAATAATGAGGCTGAGCGTGGAGGTGCACATCTTTAAACCGAGCACTCAGGAGGCAGAGGAAGGTGGACCTCTGTGAGTTCAAGGGCAGTCTGGTCTACATAGTAAGTTCCTGGCCAGCCAAAACTTACAGAGTAAGACCCTATTGCAAAAAAAAAAGTGTCTCAATGTCTGCCATCACTCTATCCATTTTAATCTTACTCTTGCATCCTCTCTAAGGTTTGGACATCTGTAAGTCAGCCTCAGTTCATAGACACAGGCCTGGCTAAACTCTGGGTCACAAAATAAAACAAAAGGCTCAATGTGGGAAAGGGACTTGTAGGGAAGAGGGTGTTGATGGAAGTGAGAGGGAGAGAGGAAAAGTGGGGGTGAGAATAACCAGAATGCATTATATACATTCATGAAATCATCAAGGAATAATTTTTTTTTTTTTTTCGGAGCTGAGGACCGAACTCAGGGTTTTGTGCTTACTAGGCAAGTGTTCTACCACTGAGCTAAATCCCCAACCCCTATCAAGGAATAAATTTAATTAATAAAAAGATGGTTCTTGAGGAACCCATAGTAAGTCCCTTGGAAATATGTATCATTACACTTAAAAATTGGGATTTTAAAAATATAAACTGGATACACTTACTGAAACACAAACTCCTAAAGTCCCATAAAGTCACCTGTGCATTAAGGCAGCACTGGCCCTCAGGCATGAAGACACTCAACACAGAGGTACTGGCTGGTCCAGGCCCAAGCCCAGGCCCTCTGCTGGGAAGAGAGGTCACTTCACTCTGCAGGTCAAAACAGTACCTGAGTCTCCGCAAGGCAACCTGTCCAAGGCCTCTCAGCAGCATTCCAAGTTAGCTCCAACACAACCCAGTTGCTCCAGCCAGCAGCAGTCAAGGAAGGCTATGCTCCTGTACTAAGCCTCTGAGGATACTCGAGAAGCTGAGCTTCTGAATCACAGCAGCTACCAGGTCTACAAATGCAGTGCTACCCAAGTCAACCCCTCAAGAGGACAAGGGACTGTTTCGCATGCTAAAAACACATCATGAGCTACACAAACCAAACCAGCTACACAAACCAGCTATTCTGGTGGGATCTGAAGTAGGGAACAAGGGCCAGGCAGCCTTTCGGACACAGTCCAAAGTAGGCTCTGGGGCACACAGCACTACTCAGCAGACATTGGAAGACACTGCTACACATCCTACCTGACTGGGCCCCAAGGTCCTCCAAACTCATCTCACAAGGTCCACCCTGGAAAACACCAGGACTGTGTAACCCTGACCTAACCTCGTCCCACATTTTGCCTGCTTGCTGGAGGCTTCCTGGCCTTTGCATCCTCTTCTGCATGGTGCTAGCTCCCTGCATAGTTAGCTGGTCCCCACCATCTCAGTTCTCTTTTGTTTACCATGGTCTCCCCAGGGAAGCACTTATGGCTCCTACCCATGTTCTGGGGTGGTGCCCTCTTATGCATCACCCACACAGCACTTAAGACACTGCAGGCTTGCTCACCTGCCTCTGCAGACAGAGAGCTCCAAGAGAGGACAGGCAGTGTTCCTGTCATCCCCAGGACTGTCTCCACAATGCTCAATCAACATCACTGCACCACAGAGGTAACGTCACTTCCACACAGGAGAGTTTCAGGTGTGGAGGAGCCAAAGAAGGACTCACAACTATTCTACGCCCTCTGCAAGGGCTGAAGGCAGGCTGTACAGCTGCTGGGAGCTCTCCAATCTGAGTAGAAGCATCTAGGCATTGTGCGCTCCACCAGTGCCTGAATCCTGAGGCCACAGGCATCCAAGAAGAGCATGTTTCTCCTCTCAGGCCTGTGGAGCTGGCTCTAACCACCCAGGGTCTGCAAACCCAAGTATGCATCATCCCCTGCCTCGAAAGGACGGTATCATGTAGAGAAATCCTATCTATCTCTCATTAATGAAATGAATATACACCCAGGTGGCTAACAATTGTCCATAACTCCAGTTCCAGGAGACCTGACTCCCTCTTCTGGTCCCTGTGGGTTTGTATGCAACTGGTGCACTTACATACATGCAGGCAAAACACTCATACACATAAAAATAAATTTAAAAAATTTAATAAAATAAAACATCATAAGATACTGATGGCGACAGTAAAAATGAAAACTGCAGTGAGCACAGGCTGGACAATAACGAAGATTCAATCATGTTCTTTCTGTTTTTAAATTTTATTTTTATTGAGCCAGCTGTGGTGGTGTATGCCTTTAGTCCTAGCACTCAGGAGGCAGAGGCAGGTGGATCTCTGTGAGTTCAAGGCCAGCCTGGTCTACATAGTGAGTTCCAGGCCAGCTGGGGCTACAGGGAGACCCTTTCTCAAAAAATAAAATAAAACAAAACAACAACAACAACAACTTGGCACAGCTTCCACTGCCTGAGGGTAGACTTTGGAGACTTGTCCAAACACCAGCTGCTGCGCAGGCATTCTATCTCATTCACCCTTTAAACTTCAGTAGCATTAGTGTTTTTATTTTATTTTATCGATGAGGAACCTAAGCCCTAGCACATAAGCCAGAAATTGCAAGCTTTTAATTAAAAGAAAAAAGATTGAAGTTCATCAATATGGGATGAAAAAGGAGAAAGAAAAACCCTAAAGGCAGCACTGCCCTTTGTCAGCCAACCTCACTCTCCCTCTCACCCACGCAACACTTGCAGAAGAGCAAGAGGGAGGCCCTGAGGGTCCCGGCAAGTAGGGTGCAGAAGAAGCAGCAGCTGTAGCATGGATCTCTACCAAAATCCCAAGGACAGGCATTTTGGAGGACACGTCCAGTGGCACTCACTGTCTGGAAGGCTGGCTGGCTGCCTACCTCCATGCGAGCCTTGTAGAAGTCCACGTCGTGCAGCTTCTCCTTGCAGCGCACCAGCTCCATCTCCAGCCTCTCCACACGGTTCGCCTTCTCCCTCAGCGAGTCCAACTCGTCACGATAGGCACGGGCTGACCGGGCATCAGCTGCAAGCTGGATGTTCTACAAAACAGAGAAGGCAGAAACCCAGCTTAAGGCACTCATTTGGGGAGGGAAGAAAGGGCCAATTCCCTACAGCAGGCTCTCCAGGACACTTTGGGAAAAGTTAGGTCCTGATGACCAAGGGGCTCCATGTGCATGCCGCCTGAGGGGTTTTTCCACACATTCACTAAGGAACACCCTCGGAAATTCTCAGGACAACCAACTCTGGACAGCTTTGCTAGGCAAGCCCATGTTACATTCCCAACCCTCTTGGACCTGCTAGCACCCCAGCTTTCCAGCCCCTGGACACACAGACACAAGCCTCATGCTCACCTCCTGCTTGACCTTCTGCAGCTCCAGCACCAGCTGATCCACCTCATGTCTGGTGTCTACAAGCTGCTCTGTCTTCTCCTCCCTACAGGGCAAATGGGAGGAAAAGAGTCCGAGGGGAAAGGGTGTCCCTCGGCAGACCACGGAACAGGCTGCTACTTTCTGAACAGAGGGGCAAGGAGGGTACACAGGCTTCTGGGAGGAGGGAGATCTGCTGAGGCATGAGAAAGTGGTTCTGACTTAAAATGGTGTATGTTGGGTGTTGGGGGTGTGCTCACCTGTGTGAATGAGTGTGGAGGCCAGGGATCGAAGCCCCATGTCTTCCTCTAGGCAGGCTACATATATTTTTGAGATAGTGTCTCTCACTGAACCTGGAGCTTGCTGTTTTGGCAAGACTGGCTGAATACAAACCCTCTCAGGCAAAGTCACAGATGCAAACCATCACACCCAGCCACTGCTTAGGTGTTAGGGATCCAAACATCAGGATGTGCTGTGCAAGCACATTACCCACTAAGCCACCTTCCCAGTCAAAAATTCTTCAGTATTCTCAAACTGGATTCGGTCACCACCCATGTTTCTCTGAGTACACAAGACAAAGAAAGCCCAGCCACTGTCGTATGAGTCCATAGATGGGCTCTGTGGGACTGAAGATGGGGAGGGTAGAAACAAGCAGCTCTCCAAATGGATAAGTGACATTCACCAGCTGCAGGAAAACAGGAAAGAACCACCCCCCCTCCCCATAAACAGTGAGGTACATCTTCCCTCCAACCAAGAAAACATGGTGTGGTTATCCTAGCCCTCAATGGGGCCTTCATGGAGATAGCAGTCTACTTCCATAGGCAATGTGGGTGGAGCCTGAGGACCAAGAGGAAGTCCTCCCTGCAAATGCAGGCCTGCAGCGGGCTGTTGAGGTCTTTAGCACGAGGAGTTCGGAGCAGCCCCACCAACTCCACGCCAGCAGAGCTATCCATTCATAATGCCATACATACAAGAAAATTACATGCCAAGAGTTTGGTTCACACCACAGAGCAGCACAGAAAGTAGAAGGGAACTCACAATTCCTGCCTGACACGCCGTAGCCTGGCCTTGGTGTCAGCCAGCTCCACAGCCAGGTGCTGTTTGTCCTCACTGGAGAGGCTGCTGGTGGGGCTGGGTGTGGAGTCTGGACTGGAGAACTTGGTGGGGCTGGGCGGGTGCTGTGCCTGGAGGTAGTCTCTCTCTTGTGTCAGGTCCACGATCAGCTGCACCAGACAAGGAGAAAGGAGAGTGAGTTTACCAGCGCATCCTGGACCAGCCCAGTGCCCAAGCCTAGACTGGGCGAAAAACTATTGAAACAAGAGAATAATAACCAGAAGGGGGAGGGTGTTATATGTTTTCAGAAAGACATACCATTTAATGAGAAAAAAAAAAAATAGCATGGGTGGAGAGAAACCCACACTAGCACCCTGATCCACTTCTGTCTTCCTGTAAACATCCCTGCAAAGACCATTCACCACAGGAGCTGTAACCAGGAAATAACCATGCTCCATCCCACCAGATCCAGGCCGGGAAGCATGCAGACCAGAGATGGAGGGGAGGAGAGCAACTACACCAAGGGTACCCTGCCAGCCACAGCTGCCCCACAGACACACCTCGGTGCACTCGTCCCGTTCGTCAATGAGCCTGCGGAGGTGGAACACCATGCTCCTGGAGAGGGCTTCCAGCTCCTCTGGGGCCACATCTGGCAGCTCTAACCACTGCAGGTCAAACACATTTTCCTGGTTGTGGGTCACCTGTGGGTACGTGGTCTAATGTTAGAAGCTGCTATGCTGGCCCTGGAGTTCCTGAATGTCCTCCTACCCAGTGCCCTGTGGTGTTGAGACTCAGGCAGAGGCCCAGACCATGCTTCATTCCCACACCAAGAACAGTATTTTACTACTAGGACATTGACACTGTTAAGCCTTCATTGGCAAGTTTCCCATGGCTAGCAGAAGGGTTCTCAAATGAGTTTAGAATCCATTAATATAAGCCACTTCTTTCCTGGGATGACAAGATATTCACACTGAAACTGCATCAATTTACAGCACAGAGATGGTTAGCCTCTCAGTGAGTTTGAGGAATAGGCCTCACATTATTTCTTAAAATAAAATCTATACAAATAGGGCAAAAATGCTAAGCTTCTTAGTTCAGATAGTGGGTACACAGAAATCTTGGGTTTCTTTGGGAGAGCGATTTATAGTTTAAGGCAATTTAAGGTTTGTGTCTCACTCCCAGAGGCCACCAAGGACAGTCTAGATTCACTGTGCCCCTGAGCAGAGCTGAGGATCTTTTCATTTTTGTAAGAGAAAACAGTACAACACTCAGGTCTCAAAAAGGGAAAACAAAACCAAGGAGAGAAGGGAGTCTACTAGGGGAGCACTTGGATGTCTGAATTGGAGAAATCTTATCCCATGGTTCTCAGTAGGCTGCAGCCAGGATGTAAGGCCAGGTCCCAGCCTGGTCTGTGCTAAGGCTGGGGCACACCCGAGTCTCCATGCCATCGTGGCTGACTTCAGAGCTCCATGCCATCGGCACATGGTTATCTGCTAAGCTTTTTAAAAAGATTTTAATTGTGTGTGTGTGTTTGTTCACATGAGTGCGGGTGTTTGCAGAGTACAGAAGAGGGCGTCAGATCCCCTGTAGCTAAAGCTACAGGTGGTAGGACATGGGTACTGAGAACAGAAATCAGGTCCTCTGCAAGAGCAGTATGTACTCTTTAAAGCACTGAGCCATCTCTACAGCCCCGCCAGCTAAGCTTTAAATTATAGACCCATGCTCCTCTTCCCTTAATTCTAACAAGCAGCTCCCTTGGGGATGTGGGACATGGGAGCTTTTGTACAGCACTCAATGAATTCCTGTGCCAGCCCTTGAATTTGATAATCACAAAGGACTCCCCTGGCTGCGTACTTTTTTTCAAATATCTTGCTGTCTGGACTGGAAGGACAGTGAGCAGCAAAGAACTGACACACACTGACAAATCTCAAGGGCCTAAGTTCCCAGACAGATATATTTTCAAAACACACAAGACCCACAGGGAAATTAAAAGGTAGACTGATTTTTAAGCTAGCAGGCAACCAGCAGTAATGGTTGAAAATATTTACTAAAATACTTTCTCCTGACACCAGCTTTGCAGGATTTCCTTTCTGCAACCAGTGCCATCTTGTCTCTCCTGATTCAAATCCTGGCTTGAAACTCTTGACCCTGCAGTATCTTAGTCACTGTGGGAGCCAGGAAGCCCAGCCCCGGCCATGTCACCTATACCCACCACGAGAGCTGTGTTTGGTGCCTCTGGTAACTGCATAGTGGCTCCTGAGTGCTCTAGTTTAACATTGATCTCCTTGGTTTAATTAGATTGAGCAGTGAGCCCTAACAAGGCATCCAGAACTAAGACAGTCCATTTCCAGATGGATGCCTGCCCCAACTGATGCCATCTTGGTCAACCTCAGGCAGAGGGACAGGAAGGTCTAACTAGTTCATTGTGGGGGCAAAGGCCTCCCGACACCACGCAAGGCAATGCTCTCCCGACCTGTTGGCTTTGACATCTTAACTCAGTGGCAGCTTGTTTCCCTGCGTGTCACTGACAGCAGCAGAGATTCTCTCCATAAAGATCAACCGTTCACAGCGGGATGACATTTGCCAGAATACATTTTCAGGGCCTATAAATCAAATTCTGAGCCTAAATCATTTGACAGCTCTTAAAAATAGTCTGAGTCCATATAAGGCAAGCAGCGGCAGCAGAAGATGACTTGATTGAGGTGTTGGTATTTTTACATTTTTATTTTTACCCCTATTTTATTTTAGCTCACTGGTGGCTACCTTTCCAAACAGAATCAATTTGTCTACAGTATCTGAAACCTAAAATTACCAAAACAGCTTGAGGATAATGCAGTTTGTAAACTCTTCCAGTGGGAAGATACTGCCTCCTGCTATAGCCACCGCACCCACGGCCATGCCCCCATGCCTACCTCCTGGATGTGAGCCACAATGCCCGCCTGGGTCTCAATGTCCAGCTGTTTGATTCTTTCAATGAATTCCTCTTTCCTCTCACACTGTGAAGGATTATACAAGTTAACAGAGGTAGTCTTCAAGGTACAGCCAACTTGGGCCATGTCCACACCCACTCCAGCCTCCGGTCCTCCCACAACCCCTCAGACCGAGGCTTCTCACAAAACTGTTCTAGCCGCCTACAGGAGCTTGGCTTCAGAAGCCCACTTTTGAGCAGCTCCCGGAGGAAAACACTGGGGTGGGACACAGAAATGCCTGCTCTAAACAAGCTCTTCACAAGCAAAGAGAGAACACGTAGCTGAGGGCAAGGGCAGGCACACTCCATCTGAAAAGGGCCATAGGGTAACGGTTTGTTTGGTGGTATTGGGTTGCCCTCAATTTAAATTCACAATACTCCTGCCTCAGTAGCCCCAGTGCTAGGACTACGGGTGTGTGCCACCACACCCAACTAGATGCTAACAATTTTAGATTTTCTGGCCTTTGTCAGAACTACTCAACTCTGCCACTGCAGTTCAAAAGCATCCAGAGACAATCAGTAAAAGTCATAGCTGTGTTCTAATAAAAACCTATTTATGCCGGGCGTGGTGGCGCACTCCTTTAACCCCAGCACTCGGGAGGCAGAGGCAGGCGGATCTCCGAGTTCAAGGCCAGCCTGGTCTACATAGTGAGTTCCAGGACAGCTGGGGCTACAGGGAGACCCTGTCTCAAAAAGTCAAAAAAAAAAAAAAAAAAAAAAAAAAAGAAGGTGGTATTGGTAGATCTTGCCCACAGGCTGTACAGCGCAATCCTTTAAGTTTTCCTTTAATGGAGACCATTTGCTATGGGGTTCTGGCCTGAGGCGCTCCAACACAAAGAGCCTGGTACTAGCTGCCACCAACAGTGGTCACTGTCGTCACACTGGACCGAGGGCAGTCACACCCTTAGCCTGGGGGGGGGGCTATAAGCACAGTGTGTAAGCACAGAGCCCTCTGCACCCACTGCCCAACCCTACCTGAACGGCACAGCCCAGCACCAGCAGTAGCACCTTCTTAATCTCCTCCATGCTCTTCCCTGTGTCAAAAGAGCAACAGATTTAACTAAGTTCAACTGCTTATAAAATTCCCCAGAAATGCATGTGTTGCTTTAAGGGGTGGGGTGTCATATAAAAAAAAAAAATTTTGAAGGTCGCAGTGGTAGCCACTTAGGCGTACACATTATGCAGGAGTTCATTTATTTATTTTTACCATGTGAGAATTCTGTACATAACTATTTGAAGCCCTTTTCTAAATTCAAATACCTCATAAATAGCTGTCCATGATAATTAACAGACCTCTGCATCAGTCAGTAACAATTTTTAGCATGTGCTGTAAGCAAAGTTCAATAGGAGAGAACTGTATACAGCTTTACTCATTATTATGTGACATTTCAAACGGACCAGGGAGAACAGCATGGCAAACTTGCATGTGTTCAGTTTTGGGTTGCCGAAGTTTTATACATCTAATCCATTTTGTGCCCCCTTGCCCTTTTAGTTTGTGAGGTTCAGTGTTTGGCTGGAGTATTCTGACGCAAACCACAGAAAACAAATACACATCATTTTTTGAGATGAGGTCTTACTATGTAGCCCTGGCTAGCCTAGTACTCGTGATCCTCCTGCTTACACATCCCAAGTGCTGCCATCACAAGTACACATTATTTTTTTGATGGCTACTAAACCGCTTTGCACAAAGCCTCAAACATCAATAACTGCCTTCCAGGGGTTCCAGTTTTCAGTATTTTAATCTGTAGATGCTACAAAGAGCACCCTGGTTGGTAGCTAATCTTTATGCACATCTTTATTCACTTCCTTGAGGCAAACACTTAACTTTTCATTTTGCCAAACCACCCTGCAGATGGGCTTTACCATTTTGCCCTGTGCAAAATGCAGCAACCTCCACTTTACCACCCTTGATCAGCATCTTTCCACTCTCTCAACTTTGCCGCTCCGATGGCCCCCAAAATAGTTCATTTAAGGTTTGTTTCTGATTATGTTTAAGGCTGAATGTATGTGCGCCTGTCTCAGTCACCTTATCAGAATCAGAATACTGGGCTCTCAACTTCATTTAATCACTCTAAAATGGGGTGACAGGGCAAGCCATATCCTGTGTCTCCAAGTCTCAATTTCTACATTTGCAAGATGAAGACAGCTGGCTTGGATAGACAGATGGATGATGGCTGGGGTTTCTGTTCAGATTTTTTTTGTTTTAAAGCTATGGGTTTCTGCCTTTTTCATCACATCCTGTCATATGGGAGAAGATGTACCCTCCAAACAGTATCATTTCCTTTAAAGACTCTAAACTCCCTCTCCACTGTGCCAGGATGGCCCAAAGTATTATCAGAGACATCTGTGAAAGGTTAACCATCACTGCCAACTTGACTGGACATGGAATCACCTAGGTCGAGACACACCTCTGTGTGTGTCTTTGAGGGCAATTCCAGAGAGGCTTATCTGAGGAGGGAAGACCCTCACTGAACGTGGGTGGCACCAGTCCCTGGGCTGGGGTTCTGGACTGAATGGAAAGGAAAAAAGGAAGAAGCTTGATCAGAGGTAGGATGTGAGGCGTCCCAACCCCACCACTATGAACTCCATCACAATGGACTGTACCCTTTCTTACATCATGAACCAAAATAAACCTGTCTTCCCTTAGGTGCTTCTGTCAGGTATTTTGTTATAATAAAGAGAAGAGTTACTAACACATTGGAAAAATGAAAACCAAAACCCCACCCAAGAACTGGGGAGCAGGGAGTGTAGAGAGTAACATGTGAGAGACTGCTAATTCTCAGCAGAGACTCAGCTCCGCTCGCCAACACCGGCATGTTTGTCAAGCCTTAGAACAGCAAGCTGGGATTTCACTCACCCAGCCCTCAGGTGGGCAGGAGGCTGCTTCCCTGTTCTCGGGGACATACTAAAAGATGAAGTCTAGTGGTGTGCATCCATCTACTATGGTCTTCAACGTGGCCAGAGGCTCTAATCCACAGACCAGACATTACCACAACTCACTTCTCTGCTATCAGTGAGAAGATGCAAGCTTTTCATGTTGTTGTTGTTGTTTTTAATTTTATTATTTTTATTTTATATATATGAGTGTATTGTCTGCATGTGTGTAAGTGCACCCATGTCAGGCAAGGCTCATGGAGGCCAGAAGAGGGTGCAGGGTCCCCTGGAACCGGAATAATGGATGATTGTTAGCCACCATGTGGGTGCTGGGAATTGAACCTGGGTCCTCTGCTAGAGCAGCCAGTGCTCTTAACCACTGAGCCATGTCTCCAGTCCTCATGCTGGTTTTAATCACGAGAAAAGGCAACTCCCCAACCCAGGCATTAACAGTCCTATGTAAATCTGACCAACCGAGCTTGCTGGGCCATCCCAAACCATCACTCCAGCTCTTTACCCTCTGTGGTCACTGGCAGGCAGGTGCCCCTTGCATGCCCTAGGGTGGACACAAAAGTACTGGCTCCTCATCATGCAGTGGAGAGCCACACAATCCACCGACTTCCACGCTTCCATGGTCCTGCAACCACTAGAGCCAAGACAAGGGACAAAAATGCTCAAAGGACCTGAGCTCACGCAGAGAAGCTGTACTCACAGCCAAGGCCCAAAGGACCCAATTATATCATCCTTTAGAATAATTCAGACAACTCCAGTAATTGATTAGGATGGCAGACTCCAAGAGGAGAAAGAGGTGGGCTCACAGGGAGAGTCACTGCCAGATGGGAGGACTGAGTTCTGTGTTCCCCTACATAGACAGTGTATCAAATATTCCAAACAGCTCGAAGGGAGGGCTCAGGTGTTCTCATCACAGCTCATCAATGTTAGAGCTGATGGATCACCTAAGGATTCTGGGTTGATCAATACACACTGTAAATGTGCCAACACATCACAGTACAGCTCATACAGGCTGCAACTGTTATCTGCCAATTAAAAACAAATAAAAGTGAGACTGAGTGCCAGAGGCCCGCAGTTAGCAACTGGAACGCAAGCTGGTACTGATGGCAAAGAGCTAGAACTCTGCACATAGGTGAAGGCTCAACACCACACTGAGGCTGCTCACAACAGAGTAAAAGTGGGAGTTCCTCAGTGCCCTGCCGTCACCCACATGTCACCCTGAGCAGCACATTCACCCAGGAAGCCATCAGAAATGAGGGAAAAGCTAAAGGAGATTCATCAGGCATGGTGGTACATGCCCATACACTCGGCAGGTGAGGCAGGAGGATCATGAGCTCAAGGTCAGGCTGGACTTGTAAGGCAAAACAGGGTAGGTGAGGGGCGAGAGATGGCTCAGCAGTTAAGAGCATGTACTGCTCTTACTGAGGATCAGAGTTCAATTCCCACAATGGGCAGTTCAAAACTGCCTGCAACTCCAGCTCCACGGGATCCCACACATCTGCCCCCCTTGGACACCTGCACTCACATGTACATACCCACACAGACATACATGTAATTAAAATTAAAATAAATCTTAAAATAAAACCAGGATGTCAAAATGGCTCAGTAGGTGAAGGCTCCACCCCTAGGCCTGATGACCTGAGCTCAATTCCTGAGACCCACATGGTAGAGGAAGAGGACTGACTCTTATTGACTTTTGGGCTAGAGAGATGGCTCAGCGGTTAAGAACACTAGTTGTTCTTGCAGAAGACCTGGGTTCGAATCCTAGCACCCACATGGCAAGTAACGACTGTCCCTAACTCCAGTCCTAGGGGATCTGACAGCCTCTTCTGGCCTCCTTGGGCACTGTATGACATGGGTGCACTTACTGACATGCAGGCAATACATGCATACACATAAAATAAAAGTAATAAATTTTTTTAAGTAAATTAAATTAAAAAAAGATTTATTGACTTTTATGTGTATGAGTGGTTTTGCATCCATGTATGTTTGTGCACCAAGTGCATGAAATGCCTATAGAGGCCAGAAGAGGGCATCAGATCCCTTGAAACTGGAAGCTGGCCTGAAACTCACACCGATTCACCTGCCTCTGCCGTATTAAAGGTATGTGCCACCACTCGAGGCTTTGAACATTTTATTAGTAAGAAAAATGGCTGCTTTCACAAATCTACCAGGCTGTGAGTTTGGATAGTTTCAATACACAACAGAAGACTCTTCTGGGTCTCTGTATACAAGCAGGGCTTGGTAACTCAGCAGTTGAACAAGTCCCTGGCCAAGTGCCTACCATGTGCTGATAGTGTAAGAGTCACGAGTTCTCCAAATGCAGACAGACATGGATACAGACAAGTACACCAGCAATCCCAAAAAGCTGAAGATGCTCTGGGAACCTGCAAAAAGGACTTGTAGTTTATAGTAAGCATCAAGACTTCCAGGCACAGGGCACAGCATGTGCAAAGGTCCAGAGATAAGAACGTGATAGCAATGCTTTGCGGAAACGCTTTGTGGTTAAGCTTACTGGACCTGATAGTCAGAGAGATGGTGCAGGGGGACGAAACAATGAAGATTCCTAGGCCAGATGAGTCACAAGCAAGCCCAAGGGAACAGAGTTAAAGAATACCAGACACCCTCTGTGTCAACCCGTGCTCTGTTGTGCTTTGTGCAGAGAACCCCAGGGGAATCCCAGACAACCCAAATCAGTGACTGAGTTGAAGGAAATCCAACAAGCTTGCTACCTGCTTCCTACAGTCCTGACACAGAAAGTCACCCCAGGCCTTCTAAGTCTGCACGGAAGGCAGCAGATAAGCTGGTCAATGGACGTATGAACTGGAAAACACAACAACTGGCTTCCAACAGAGACTGATTCCACATGTGGCATAAGGCATGGGACGGAAATATGGCAGGCTGGTGAAGTGGAGCTGCGTTAGATTCGAGGAGGAAGGATCTGGACCATCCAGCCGAAGCCCATGCAGCCCAGTCAGGAATCACACCACCTGTTAGTATGGAACTCAGTCTCAGAGTCCTACACAGATGTCACCAGGGGATACCAGCAGTCCAAACGGAACCTAATCTGCACGACAGTAGTGATTCCCTGGGTCCTTTTTGACTCTTTTCTTTGTTCTCTGACGATGTAGCCACTGGACTATAGACA